TCTCCCGTGGTGCTTGGCGAAGCCCTGCGGGATTGCCACGCTCCTCCACCACCACCACGCCGTTGTGCTGCTGTTGGATGGAGTTTTCCTCAACCTCTCCCTCTCTCCTTGCTGGATCAAGGCGTGGGAGACATCGTCGGGCTGTACGTGTGTTGAACGCGGAGGTGCCGTGCGTTCGGCACTTGATCATCGGTGATCTGAATCACGACGAGTACGACTCCATCAACCCCGTTCACTTGAACGCTTCCGCTTAGCGATCTACAAGGGTATGTAGATGCACTCCCCTTTCTACTCGTTGCTGGTCTCTCCATAGATAGATCTTGGTGTTACGTAGGAAATTTTTTGAATTTCTGCTACGTTCCCCACCAAGCAGGACCATGTTAAAGAGCCTCACTTAAAACTGCTCTTCTACTTAACACCGTAATTCATTCAAACAGTTCTTATTTTTTTTAGTGTGGACATGATGTCATTAACCTCGAGGAGAAACAACAAATATGGCATCAAAACCATATGTATCACATGCCTAGAAAAGAAAAGAAAGAACACCGTTGCGCAAATTCCTGGTGGATCCTTTGTAGCAAATTCTGGTTTTTATATTGGAAAACCAGTGGAAACACTTCCATTAAAAAAAAGTAACCATACAGATTTATCAACTGATAATGTATGTTGAGCAAGTATGATGATCCAGCCTTGATACAAAGTTGTGTTGAGTTATTCCAAGCAATAGATGAGGTGGGAATCAAGAGAAAAAAATGTTTCCAGCTTCAGAATGGTTCTGTGATGACCATAACCATGTTAAAGTTGCTCAAGTCAATTTGTAAATTATTTTTTTGCCAATGCTTCTTCCATCCAAATTTACACCGCGTCCTCAATTTTTGTGATTCAGTATTGAACATCAATTGTTGATAAATTATATCCAACTAATGTGCAATACATTATAGGACCCCAATAGCCAGCGAACTTTCCCCGAAAAGGATGACATTAGCAAACTTTTTCCTTGGCATTTTAGTTATAGATGATGTCATTTTCTTAAGAACATGTCATTTGTTATGTATAGAAGACAATCTTTTTCAGAAAACAGCAACCGTGTGATTTTGATCAGAGAATTGTGGGGACGTTCCCTGGGACCTCCTCCCCATGGGAACGTTCCCCAATTACCGATGTGTGGCTTTTGTGCCACACAAATTAAACCATTGAAAATTCCATACTCCAAAAAGTTGTCAATTGTTTCATTTTTGTAGCACACAATCAGCCTTTAATTGGTCAAATTGATGGTCGAAGTACAAGGCGGACGTGGCTAAGGGAACTTACATTGAGCCAGCAGCCCCACGGTATGACGTGGGATCGGAAAGAGGATTCGCAAAACAATGATGGAGGGAGCATGGCAGCCTAGGGGAGTATGTGTGGGACAAAGCTGGGGAGAAAAAGAAGAAGGTCTTCTCCCGGGATGCTATTATAGTTCAGACTAGTGTGGAAGAATACATTTGTTTTAATATTTTTTCATCTGTTAGAAGCTTTAATTAGGTGATATAGTTTTCACACAGTCCATTTTATTTTAGCATTAAAAGTTTCTCCTCAAGAATAACTGATGGAGCATGTATAATTATTCAACTAGAAAACAGCTTGAAAACACTAGCTATTTAAAACAAATACTGGGCAGAGTTCAGTCCAATTTCTCCTGCACGGAATATACAAATGAAATATCCATTAAGAAATCCAACTACTATATCTCCACGGGGAGTGATCATATTTTTATAGTATTTCTAATCGACATCTTTCATGAACAAACTAAAAAGAACTTGGGGATAGATTTGAGATACACGATCGAGATTCTTTAAAAGACAGGAAACATATATATCATGTGAACACTTGTCCCAGTAACAACTGTTCTCAGAGCACGCACACGGGTGCTTAAGTAGATGAGTGCCCGTGTTAAAAATGTAAGTCCTTTGGTCATGTGTGCTTTGCAAAACTACGGGTGTACAACCACCGGCGGAGCTATGTGTATTACTGCAGGTGCCATGGCCCCCCCAGCTCTTGGAATTTTTGTGAAGGAACTCTATATTTGGGTGCCATAAATTGAGGGAAATGTAGATTTTGACCCCTTTAAAAAATATATTTGGTCATTTGCCCCCTCAGTCATCTGTCGCTAGCTCCGCCACTGTGTACAACTGAACTTCTCATTACTAACTACCATATCATACTGTGAAACATAGATACACCATCAGAACAGTGATCGCCATATCCTACTAGTGGTTCCATCATTTTGATAGTGCTCACATAATTTTGTAGTTCAGACCATTGTAAAATGGCAAAAAACATTCAATATGTGTCCTTCTTTTGTTACCATTAATTAGGTGGTGTACGTATACATAAAGTGTTCATTATGTTGGGGCATAAAAATACCTTTTGAGAATAACTGCAGAAGTTTGTGTAATAGTTAATTAACGGAAGAAGAGCTCATAAAGCACTGCACTATTTTAAAATAAGGGACAACTTCTCTTTTGGACAATATTACACCAAACGTTTCTAGCGTAGCCCATGCGATTGCTACTCAAAATTCGATCCTATTCCTCGTGCGTGGAATATACAAAAGAAATCTCCATCATGGAAAATCCAATTAGTCCATCTCCACAGGAGATGACCTTTTTTACATAGGATTACCGCTCAAGATTTTGAGCGAGTACAACGGAAATTAACTACTTGATATTGCATAATCCATAACAAGTGGCATATGTCTCTAATAATTCAAACTTTCGGTGGACAAGCACCTTCACAGATTGAGATCTTGTTAACTTTTCGGTGCATATCCATGTCCATCCTTGCTGGCGCGCTGCAATCTGTCCCCAATCAAATTAAGTTCTCTACCGAGCATATACCCTCGTTTTGGTTTCTTCGTGTCTAAGATATCGCTGCGTAGCTACTTCGCCACATCGAGTTAGAAGAGGAGGAACAACACCAGATTCCACCAGGCATGTAGGAGAATAAAGGCACCTGCATATGGAATGCAGCAGCAAAGGTCATTTTATTTTCCATATATTTTTTATGTATACCTAGTAATGCACTCAGACACGTCCACATGCCAAATGATGTGCTTTCTTCTCTACTCTCTCAGTCCAAAAATATTGGTCATCAAGATGGATAAAAATAGATGTATCTAGAACTAAAATACATCTAGATACATCCCCTTTTATCTATTTTGATGACAAGTATTTTCAGACGGAGGGAGTATTACCTGGCAGGTGGCTGATATGTTTCTGACATCAAATTTTGTTATTTTGTTGGAGTTGGGTGACGCCATTCCCCATTGGACTTTAAGATGAGTTAATTATAGTGTTAAGTAAACAAAATTTGGAGGGAAGGGCAGAGTTAATTAAAGTGTTAAGTCAACTGAAAGTAAGGCATGACCTTGAATATCAAAGAGCATTATTTTAAATACTTTGACACTAGTCCCAACCAGGTCAATGGTCTTACACATGAAAAAGCTTGTTCAAATAAATGAACGGAGTGTATACGCATAAATATTCGGTCTCTAGCATTCAACGACTCATGACCCAGTCCAATGTTTATAAACTAATTGATTATTCTGAGAACCAAAATATTCCCGTTAAGAACACAATGAGGCATGAATAAGAGCAATGAACCCAAAGCAGATGGGCAGAAGTTTGGTATCAAGCATCTCCAATATCTGGACTGTGCTTGGCCTGCCATGAAAATTCTGGTTAAAGAATCTATGTTCACAGTGAACCTTGTTAGTGTGTCTGCTTGGCAAGTTTTTTTTTTTCGAAAAAGAGGATTATCCCCGGCCTCTGCATCAAAATGATGCATGCAACCATTTCTATTAAGTTATTCAACAGAGTCTGTCAAAATAAATACAAAGATCTACTCAAAGCCACCTTCAAAGAGAAAAAAGTTGCTACACCTACAAGTATAAAGATATGCCGTGACCGTATCAACAGACAACACCTAATCCAGTGGTCTCAATAAGCCGCCTGCCTGGCAAGCTGAGAGCACCAACTGGTCTAATCGTCCCACAATGCGCATCGCATGCGCACGCTCTAGGATCTGCTCCCGCCTTTTTTCGCCGTAAGGATCATTGCATAGACGACCTTGCCAGACACATCTCTCGTCGGCATCACCACAATGCCCGGCAACGCCACCTGCCTGCACGCGTCCATGAAACCACGTGCCAACGCTGAGACTCCACTCCTCCACGCCGCCAAGACCCGCCGTCTTCGATGCGGTAGACGCAACACCTGCTTGGCAAGTATTTGGCAGAACGACAAATGCCATGACCAAATTCTGCTTGTCTTGAAAACCTGCGTTAGGGCAAGGCAGTGGGTATCATGAACATGGAGGGAGCATCGGCGACGGTGAGTCTCTCGCCGTTTTCAACGTTAGGACAAAATTCTACCTGCCCTGATAAAGTCGTGTTCCGAGATGACTGAACACGGAGGGAGAGAGAGCATGGATAACAGTAGGTCTTGCCGTCCATGAGGCATCAGGCCTAAGACAGAACTCCACCAAGACGCAGCACCCTGCCACGCATTTCCAAACCCAAACATTACCGCCCGTGGCCTCCTCCGGAATCGCTCGCCGATGCTGCCGCGGCGCCGCACCGCTCGCCGCCCACCCCGCAATTGTCCGTCTCCCTCCGATTCCCTGATTTGACTGGGGGAGCACGACCCCGACACGATAAGGTCACTGTTAGCAAGCCGAGACTGACGACCCGAAGGCGCGACGCGGGCTCACCCGGTGAAGACTCTGCTTTTCCTAGGCCAAGGCCTCCACACACGTGGCGTCCAGCACGAGCTCATAATCTCGGCACCCGGAGCATATATACCCTACCCGGACCACCACCACCACCACCACTAGTCCAGTAATCCAGCCAGTTAAGCTTCCTCCTAGGCGCACTTCCAATCCAGACAGTCTTGTGTAAGTGCAAACAAAGAAAACAGATAGAGGGAGCCAGGACCCAGGAAGTCGAGTGACGAGCAAGAATGTGCTTCGAGTTCAGCTCATGTTTCGGCGGCGGCAGAAAGGACGACTACGGCGGCGAGCGGTCCAACCATGGCGGCTGTGGCGGTTGTCGCCGCGGCCACGGCCGCAGAGGGGACCGTGGGAACGACGCCTCCTACTACGGCGAAGCCGACCGCAAGCTGGCGCCGGCCTACGACCACCAGCCGGCCGTCTACGAGGCGGGTCGCAAGGCCCACCATGATGGCGGGCGGAAAGCTGACCACGCCTCAGTGGTCGCCGGCGCCGGTGGCCACGGCTATTACGCCGCCTACGCACTTGACAAGGCCCACGAGACGCCGAAGCTTCTTGCGTGGCACAACAAGGTAGCGGACGACGCCGGCTACGCTTACAACACGTCGCGCCTCGGCCACCAGGCTGCGCCTGATCATAGGGAGCACGCCGCCATGGATTACCACCACTACGCAACCACTACTACCAATCTCGTACGGTACTAGGTACTACTAGTCGTTAGGATTAGCTAGCATGGCAGTTCATCAATCCCTCCCTCCTCCTAGACACTGCCTCTGCATCGGTTGATCTGTTTTGTTCGGTAGCTCTGCTTTTCTACTCTGTTTTTCCTTTCTTGTCTGCTGAAACTGAAAGGCCCCTGGAATAGTGTCTGAGAGCCAGGAGCCAGTGGGCTGTGGACTTTGATCAGAGCCTCCACGTGTTTGTCGATGGATGTGCGGCGCAAGTTACATCACGAGGAAGATTTTACCGCTCCTGTTTGTGTAGTTGTTTGTCTTTACTTTAGTTGTGGCTGCTTTCTTGTATCATAAACGAAGTCAAAGAAAGCATTTCTGAGATCAAAGATGATTCCTCATTTCTACCGTTGCTATGTGCATGTGTGTGGCTTCGTTGTGTAATTTTCATTCACTCAGTTCCAAGGCTTGAACTTGGTGCTACTGCCAGGATTTAAATTAGTTGCCAATTCGCATGTCAACTACTGAACCCTCATGAATATTCATCCATTTTGGTAGTTCTCATCTCACCGCCATTCTGAAGCACTCGAACCGCAATGTCTTGAAATAGCCCACCACAGTTTGTTTAAAAAAATGTTTGTTTGTATTAAGCCTGAACCATCATACCTGCTCAACATATGATCAGGTCGAAAATCTGCATACTGTTTCTGTTTTTGTTTTTCTTTGGCATAGAAAGGTTCACCCACATTTCCATTAGGAGAAACCAGGACTTGCTACAAAGTCTCGAATACTAATCTTTATAAAACTTGCTTTCGTTTCTATATTTCCTGACAGGTGGCACATATGTTTCGGACGCCATATTTGTTGGTTTTTTCTGGAGGGTGATGATGTCATATCTCCACCATAGATTAAAATAACGGAAGTTTAAAAAAGATGAGAGGAGATGTCTTGACTAATTACAATGTTTACGTAAAAAGGAATAGTAAGATGTGTCATGGTCTTTCTGGAAAAGAATGGTCACATAAGGAAGTGTGAAAAAGAGCTATCGTTAGCTTATAGTTTGCTAAACTACATAGCCGCCCAAGGTGAGCCCAAACCAACATAGGTAAGCTCTAAGCAGCCTCACTATGATTTGAACTGGACCTTGCTCCGTACATCCACCACTATCACCTTTGGCAACCGAGAAAGATCTTTTTGCCAACCTAAAAGCTAGGTGGGTGAAGGTCCCGTATGCATCGTTGCACCATACGTTTTCAAAAAAAAAAGTGAAAATCCAGATTGTCAGTGTGTTAGAATTTGGACGGCCAAAACTGATCCACCATGATGTCTAAAGCTCACTAATTCCGCAAATGTCACGTACCACAGAACAGTCTGTAATCGATGGTTCATTATTGATGGATGGTCAAAATACTTAGTGATAGGACTTGCCAACTTGAGAGATTTGGCCATGCCCTCCGCCTTTGTTGACCCTGATTACAATGGACGGACCGAGAGAGGCCATGGGTGGGTACTGAGCTGCCATGCGACCAAGCTGACATGAACCTGTTTCGCGCATGCACAACCATCACTTTGGGAGACGGCTGCAAGGCACTTTTTAGGCATGACAACTGGAGTGGAAGGGGCCCTCTAACGCTACTTATGTCGGAGCTTTAGAAAATCTCTTCAAGAAAAAGTAGGACGGTGGATCATGAGTTGACAAATGATAACTGGATCAGAGAAGTCGCTAGCCTTCGATCCCTGCAACAACTGGGGGAGTTTGTCACTCTGTGGGGATGGATCAGTCAGACAACTCCGTTGCCATATCAGGACGACACAATCTCCTGGAACCTGACCACTAACGGAGCCTACTCTTCCACATTGGCCTATGCGACGCAGTTCTTTGCCTCACACCCGAGATTTGACTCTTCAAAGGTCTAGTCCACTTATGGTGAGCCCAAGTGCAAATTCTTCGTGTGGCTAGTTCCGCATGGTAGAATCCTCACCGAAGATATGTTGGCTATTCGTGGCTGGCCACATGACCCAAGGTGTCAGCTATGTCTTCAGCAACCAGAAACGGTGACCCACCTTTGCAAGGATTATCCCTTCACAGTCGTTGTTTGGAACCAGGTAAACACCTGGACAAACGAGGGCATTGTTGTGTCAGGTTTGTTTCTTGAGCCAGACGTTTTTTCTGACTGGTGGGACAAGATATGCTAATAAACGAGCCATCCCAAGTGCGGTGTCGACGGAGCGGTAGGATCATCTACACACTTTGGGCTATATGGAAAGAGAGGAAGAGACGTGTTTTCACGGGTCAGCGGATGACTCATCGCGAGGTTGCTTTATTGGCTTTCGAGGCCATTAAGAAAAGGGGTCTGGCTTTCGTTGGGTCCTTGCCATCTGTCGGTATAGGCTGAGTATGTATTGGCTTTTCCTGGTTCTTTTGGGGTTTTGCCACGTTCCGTAAAAACATGCGCCCCCTGTAAATTGTGTTTCTGGTCTCCTTCTATAAGAAAAGGCAGTGCTTCTGCCGGTTCCACAAAAAAATAAATGATGGTTTAAAACTGGTATCTTATTATCATATAGATTCTATGGTTGCAAAGGTCATGCACTCTACCCAACACTATCATCTAACCCACCAGCTCGTCCCCGTCATATAAAACATGCCCTAACACTAAATCTCATCCACCCCCCCCCATGCCCATCACCCACCCTTCATGTCGTACACGTAGATCTCCCACCCTTCGTTTCGCCAAACACCGCCACCTATCTTTTTGTCAAAAGCCACCGTATGGTACGTGGGGATTGAAATCCATATCAGCTTTACTGATCTTCCCGGTGCATCAAGCATAGCATACTAATTTGAAAAGCTCAATGAAATGCCAAGTTCATTTATTTTTCATAGGACTAAGAGGCATGGGGAAGTTTGCACCATCAATGATGGGTAAACCATGAGCAACATAAACATGTACTCATGGAAAAAATAGATATTATGTGGCAGAGCCACCAAACTAGGTTACATGCTTAATTTCTGTTGCTAACACCCTACATGTTTCCTTTTTTGGCTAATAATTCTACTTTAAAAAAATAATTGGTCAACTGAGAAATTATCATTGCTAGTTCTTTATGAACTAATAAAAAAAATTAGTATGTCATTTAGTCACGGTTAGTAGGTCACCCTTCTAGGGGTGCCAATTCACTAATTTTACCCTACCATACCGCTAATAAAATAAAAATAGTTTATCAAACAAACTTATTATAATATAATTAAGAAAACATAGGTATTCAGACCTAGAAAGAAGCAATCTTTGGCAAATTTTTAAGTTGCATAACGATAAGCTATACCAAAAATGAGTCATTAGAGTAGACATAAACCATGCATGCCCTTTCTGACGCTTTATTAATATGTTGGTTCAATGAAACATAAAAGTGCATAGAAGTTATAATAGATATGTTTAGAATGTATCAGCATGAGCTGCGTAGACGAGGTGGTAGCAACATGCATTCGATTGATGTCCTTACAATGTAGTCTTTTATTCCTCCCATGTTCTTGTGGCAAAGATAATGCACGTATGTGCGATCTGGAGTCTTACAATGCGACTAGCTATGGACAAAAGGGTAAATTACTAAATTATAATTGTAGTACTACAAATGACAAAGGACATATATGTGCTATGATTTGGTAGTGATCGGCTAATTAGTTTGGCTCATTAATGACATGATATATAGGTGATGATTTCGTGAGGTTTACTCTCTATCTAAAAAAGGGAGAAAATGGTGGTTATAGTAGAATGTTTATTTTGAAGAGATAGCCCAGTCACGCTTCCTATAATTTAATAAAAAACAACCAATCAGGAGCAGAAGGCTTTTGTAAGTTTCCGACAAGAATGTCGATCAATATATCTTAAATGTAGCTAGTTGTCTTGCATGTAGTCAGGTAAAGAAGCATTGCGGTCACATAGCGCAAGATCAACTGGTGTTTATGTGCAGTTGTCATAGATTAACCAGTCACCACCAATTGCTAGTGTGTCAAATTTCCACGATGAGAACATGTGGCTGGTTATTTTTTGTACAGAGTGAGAGCATGAAGTCTTCACGATCTTGTTGAATTCCTGGTGCCTCCGACTCCTAGGCATGATGTCCAAGATGAAAATACATCATAATATTTCAAGCAAATGGAATACTATTTCTCAGTAGATTTATTAGCAATATTAGAAGAATTATCGATATTTGAATTTTTTTTGTTATGCATCAGAGTATGCGTGTTTGTGTTAGTCTGGTGGTTTGAGAGAAGAGTGGAAACCTGAAAAGAAACATGATGACTGGCTATTTCTTTTATAAACGGTGGAAGTAGCGATTCACATGAACTATTGAATATGACTCCCTCTGTCCCATAATATAAGACTGTTTTTATATCAGTGTAGTATCAAAAAATATCTTAAATTATGGGACAGAGGGAGTAGATACGTTTCCGGCCGGTCTCCTGACCTGGATAGCTGGACCCATGTGCCACCAATGTTATGAGAAAAAAGGCATGTATGTTGAAAGGGATAAATGCCACATCTATGGGTTAATATGTAGGTGATCCGCTCATTAATTCGGTCCACACAGTCAATGTAGCTCATGATTCATGAGATCCTCCGAATGTACTCTCTTTAATGTAATGAAGAGAGCGAAAACGAATGCTAGTTCATTTTCCTATAAAAGAATGTGTGGCTACTATTCTTGAAGGATGGAGATAATTTGGCAAGAGTGTAAATTTGGAGTTCGACAAGCATGTATAGATCCGTGTATGAGATTTGAAAGGTAGCTTGATTGACCAATCCAATATGAGTATTATTAATGTTATGGTGGCAAAGAAGAAGCAGATCAAGGCTTTGTAATCATGGAAACATGCCTTAGGGTCACATGACCTAGGAGTGGCTAGTGTCTATGCGGCCATCAGGGGTTAGCGACCCACCACGTCACCACCATTCACCATCGCCTTGGTCACCATTTCTACTGGCATAGTGATCCCATCGACACGTAAAACATGCAAAGGTTTATTAGAAGAA